GGAAAGAGGCAGCAGCAAAATGGTGAGAAGTCAAGGTCCTGTGTCAGGTGACATGGCCAGTAAAAAACCTTAGTGATAGATACAGTGGCTAAAATGATTTTAGAAACTGAGACATACACTTGTTCAGCTGGAAACCTCAGTTCTTTGCAAAATCTATTCCAATATCAATGTATTCACTTGTTTTTAATTTTCTTGACAATTGCAATGAACTTCACCATCATATCAATAATTATTTTAAATCTAAGTGTAAATTAGGTTTGTACTCTCCACTGTTTCCTCTATATTGCATACATATTTAGTTTTTCATGTTATAATTTGACTTAGCCGGTGTATGTCCCCCAAAATTTTTTTTCCCCAGAAAAGCTAAGTTGGGGGATATATTTTCTAAATCCTTGTTTCTTTAACATTGTTTTTGTTTGCCCTCACACAATGGATAATTTGGATCATAACTTTGTTCACAATTCTTTTTTCCTCAAAACTTTTAACTGTAGTGTTTACTGTGGGTACGAAGTTAAAATATTAGTCTGACTTTTTTCCATTAGAGGTAACTTCTATTTCCTACCTTGGAGTTTGTAGGATTTTGTTTTTATCCTTGAAGTAAAGAAAGTCTACTGGCATGAGTCGTACTGTGTCTTTTTCTCACAACTCTGTCTTTTAATACTGCATCTTTTCAATCTTGAGTCTTCAGCTTAGTAAATGTTCTCAAGTTATTGCTGCTCCTCCATCACTTCCTTTCCCTTGGCTCACAGGTCATTTTACTTACATCTCCAGCAGCCCTCTCCCACCAACACACGTGTATATCACATCTCTTTACCCTGAGCTCTTTAGAGGCCCCATTTCTTCATTTCCTCCTCCTGCTGCTTTCAATTCTTACTAAACTATCTTAGGAAAATTTCTCTTGCACACCTCGATCTTCCCTTCCTACCTTTAAGAACCCCACCCCTACCCAACAGCCTCAACCAAGGCTGACAAGTCGAATTTAGTGGCATGTGGAAAAAGAAGACAGTTTGCTAAAACTTAGATTTGAAAACAAGTGCCATCAATTTCTAAAGTCTTTTCAGCATCACCACAATTTTCCATGTCCAACTTCATCCTTCTTTAATTCAACCTGCTTTTCCACAAGCATAGGCATTTAAAAACTTGATATTTGGTTACTATTTTCTTTAATCAGTATGGTAACAATATTGCTGTCTCCCTACTCACCTACCCCCCTTTTTCTTTGTATTTGTACACTATTTCAACAATAGTGTAGAGTTAAATAGGAGGTATGCATCTAGCATACATTCAAAAATATTAGTTCCAGCCCAACTGGTGTAGCTCAGTGGTTGAGTATCAATCCATGAACCAGGAGGCCATGGTTCAATTCAAGTCAGGACACATGCCTGGGTTGCCTGGCTTGATCCCCCTTGGGGGCGTGCAGGAAGCAGCCAATCGATGATTCTCTATCATCATTGGTTTTTCAATCTCTCTCTTCCTCTCCCTGAAATCAACAAAAACATTTAAAAAATATTATTTCCATCATTAACTCAGTATGTATAAACCAGAAAATGTAACCAATTTTTTTTTTTACTAGCAAGTCAAATCATACATCATGATCAAGTGGGGTCATTTTGGTCTTGTAATCTCCAATTACTCACATGGGTCTAAGAAAACAACTCCATGGGAAGTAGGCTATTACATGTATTAAACCTCAGACAACCTTGTTCATTCCCCACTTTTCCTACATGTATATAAAATGTTGATGTTCTGGAAACTATTCTAATTCTCATGATGCAACTAAAGTATGAAAGCAGAGTCCTAAAACAGGTATACGATGTTTTTTAAAGTTTGGATTCATTTCATCCCTAAATGTTTCGTTTGGTTTGGTCATTGCATCAAGCTCTTTTTATAAGAATCATGTGTACTTTAGAAAGAAATAATATTTGTTTACATTCACACCAAGCTAAACAGGTACTACTAATGCACTACAAGGAAGAAGGAGAGACAGAATTTAGGGAATGGAGAAAAGGCAGAGGCTTCCCGTCAGACTAGCTGAGCATCTGTGCTCAGCTATCATTAGCATGAATGGGTAAATCGTCTAACCTTAGTGGGCTGGGGAAATTTAGGAATTTTTGTTTGTTTAGGTTTTTTTCCCTGTCTCTGAAAGAGAATACCTATCTTACCTTGCCCAGGTTTTATATAAGCTACTTTGTAGGTGTGGGATAAACAGCAGCTACTAAAATAGAAGTGAAGGTGTGTTAAGGGAAATGCCGAAATAATGCTTTGCAATTAACCTAAGGTACGCAAAAGCATAGTGACTTTTAGGGTAGATGATCTTCAGAATCTAAAAAGGTGTACAAATTTCTAACAATTATGCGGCACAACGAGAAACGTGCCAGTCATTTTGCTTGTCCCACCACTATAAAAACCCACTTTGCCAAGCTGAAAGCAAGCTGCTAGGCCCAGAAGCGAATAAAGATAAAATATAAAGGGTATCTGCTTGCCCGCTCCAACAACCAACTTCGAACTACACAGTGCAGAACTATAGCAGTGCAGAGCCCCCAGCTATAGGTGAGTGTGGCCAGCACTCAGCGCGGAATTCCATTTTAGCGACGGCGCATGCGCCCAAAACGTCTCGCTTTGACGACACAGGGGGAAGAATTAGTGGCGTTGGCGGATGCTATCGCGAGAGGATAGGGCCAAATGCCACGTCTGGAGCTAGGACTCTGGCGCCGAGCGACAGGTGCCAGAACAAACGGACAGGGAAAGGCCGGGGACGCGAAGGCGTTCCGGGGGGCAGGACTTCCGCCGGAAATAGGGCGGTCTGGGAAATCTCAGAGCGGAGTTCCGGCGGGTCTCACCCCAGTGGGCACGGGCGGAGATGGCTTGCGCCGCGGCGCGGTCCCCGGCCGACCAGGACAGGTGGGTCCTGAGGCAGGGAGGGGCTTGCTGCGAGCCCGCGGGGCTTGCGCCGCTTCCCAGCCCCGGGGAAGGCTCGCGGGGAGGCTCTGCGCTGCTCTCCGGCGCTCGTTTCTCCTGGAGGCCCAGCATCGGCTCTTCGCAGGTCCCTGAAATGCCGACTTTAGGTAGCTCAGTGATCACCTGGTTTACCCGTTCGCGACGCAAAGCACCGTGGGCGCTCCGTGCACATGACGTTACGTAACAGGCACAAAGGGAGAAGTCTGTCTTTTTCCTATTGTGGCGTTCAGGAAGGCCCGTTTGAGTTCTTTAGGTTAATACCTCTGACGCCGTACTTTCTAGACGCGAGAGAGGCCCCCCTCCCACAGGACCGTTTGGCAGGTACCCGTATCTAACTGAGCAGTTAAGACAACGTTTTTTTTGTTTGTTTGTTTGTTTTTTTCCCCCACTGGGGGATTGAGCCTGAAATCTGGGCACATGCCCTGATGACAGGGAATGAATTTTTTAAAATATATTTTATCGATTTTTTTTATAGAGAGGAAGGGAGAGGGATAGAGAGTTAGGAACATTGATCAGCTGCCTCCAGCACACCTCCCCCTGGGGATGTGCCCGCAACCCAGGCACATACCCTTGACCGGAATCGAACCCGGGACCCTTCAGTCCGTAGGCCGGCGCTCAATCCACTGAGCCAAACCGGTTAGGGCAAGACAACGTTTTTTTAAAAATATTCTCTAGCAAGTGGGTGGTTGGGGTTTTTTTTCTTTCCATTTAAGGCAGTGAGTTAAAGTTTACTTTTTAAGTAAGTTAAGTGAAAGGTAGACAATATAAAGAAAAAAACATGCGACTTACAGTATAGGGGTACTGGCTGTCACGATAACGAGTGAGTGAATGGGTGAAGTTTTGGAAATACTGCTCTAGTGATACCAGCTGCGTTTTTCCTGTGGCAGGTTTATTTGTATATACCCTGCCTATTTAAATAACAAGAAGACCATCGCGGAGGGCAGGCGAATCCCCATAAGCAAGGTAAGCAGGCCGGCACCTTGGCCCGTGAGGGGAGGCTTTACTCTTAGGGTCACAGGTTTCTTTGACTTGACTGCATTTGGGAAACAGCGGCCAAGGATTGGGTGCATTCCTTCAGAAAGGCACGAGGTCATAGCTGAAGGAGGTTTTTTTTTTGTAATGATTGTTCATGAACCTGTGTTTGAAGGGCCCCGGCCCGTGCGGCTCAGTTGATGGCGCGTCATCCCGCGCACCCAGAGGTTGCTGGTGGATCCCCGGTAGGGGGCGCGCAGTAGGCAGCCAGCCAGTCGATGTTCGCTCTCACATCAGTGTTTCTCCCTCTCAAAGAATCTTTTTTTTTTTTTTTAAGGAGGCGGGGAGAGGTGTAGGATTTGCAGTTTTCATTTAAACCAGGGCTATGGCAGTCTTCCCCTTAATAAAGGAAACCAAAATTACGTCACTGCACAATGAAATGCCCAGAATGCAGTTGAGTTTTTAAAGAAGACTTGCAGAAAATTCAGACGCGTTGAGTTTTATAGTTTTATGTCAGTTACCCTTTGTGAGATGGGTAAAGTTACTTTAAAAATAACTTGGCATTAGGAAAGTGCCTGATGCCAAGTGAAGGGACTTTGTTGATGCCGTTCATTTTCAAAATTGATGTCATTTTATTTTTTAAGAATCCCATTTTGTAATCTAACAGAACAGAGTTAAGGTAACTTGGTCTGAAGCATTGACTTTGTTATTTTATATCTCTCATTTTCTGCTTAAATGTGTAAAAGAAAGTCTATTTTGCTGCCTCTGGATGAAAGAGAAGACATCAAAGCATTGGTTCAGAATAATGCCTGACTCCCTGTAACAGGCCTCTGGTAGCAAGCTGTCAGATAATGGAGAATGATTAAATTGTTTTTAACTTTATCGATAGATAGCAAGCATACATACAGAAATCTTGTGTCTTAATTTTCACAAAATGAGTGCACATGGGTAATCAGCACCCTAATGTAAAAGAAGAAAACAGCCCTGACCGGTTTGGCTTAGTGGATAGAGCATTGGCCTGCGGACTGAAGGGTCCCAGGTTCGATTCTGGTCAAGGGCATGTACCTTGGTTGTGGGCATGTCCCCAGTAGGGGGTGTGCAGGAGGCACTGATCGATGATGTTTCTCTCTCATCGATGTTTCTAACTCTCTGTCCCTCTCCCTTCCTCTCTGTGAAAAATCAATAAAATATATTTTAAAAATAATAAAAGAAGAAAACATTACCAGCACCCAGGAAGATTCCTTTATGTCCCCTCCCAGTCACTGTCCTCTTCGTATATACTCATATACAAGGATAACCACTGCCGGCTTCCATCACCATAGGTTACTTTTGCTTGTTTTTGAATTTTAAAATGCATTATACACTGTGTACTTTTACATCTGGTTTTCACCGAACTTTAAGCTTATGAGATTTATCCACATTTTTGAGTGAAGTTTCTCATTGCTCTGTAATAGCGTTTCTCAACAGCAGCACCATTGACATTTGGAGCCAGATAATTCTTTGTTGTGGGGCTATCCTGTGTATTTTAAGTTGTTTAGCAGCATCTTTGGCCTCTACCCACTAGATGCCAGTGCCCTACGCCATCATAGTTGTGACAATCAAAAATGTCTCCAAGCCTTGCCAAACGTTGAGTGGAGGGGAGGAGGGGCAAAATCACCTTAATGACAACCACTGCTATGTAGTATTGCATTGTGTGAATATACCATAGTCTACTGTCAATGGATAACTAGGTTGTTTGTAGTTTGGGGCTATTGTAAATAGAGCTGCTGTGAACATTCTTGAGTTTGTCTTAAGTGGACATAGTTTTGCATTTTTTAAAAATAAATATTTAGAAGTGCAATTGCATGCCCGTAATGAATGCATACATTTGACTTTAATAGATACAACCAAATAATTTTCTAAAGTGGCTGTATCTGTAATAATTGTTTAACTAGTATTCACTGAGCACCTACTATGCTCCAAGTATCATGCCAGATGTTGGGGAATGTTCTGATGAATAAAATAGTCCTTCCACTTGTGAAATGTATGTTCTGTTGGAAGGGAGATGAACAGCACAAGAATGAATCAGTATTATTCCAGGGATATTTTTTTTAATTTTTAAAATTATAGTGGAAACAGACCTAGTAGAAAAGGAAACCTTGGGTTTGATACATGTTTTGAACATAGTATTTGAAATGATTTACACAACAATATTGTAATACCTACTTAAAGCTAAGCTGTTTAGTGTTTTTTTAAACTGTTCAGGCTGTTGAAAATCCTACAGCTACAGAGATTCAAGATGTGTGCTCAGCAGTTGGACTTAATGCATTTCTTGAGGTATGATGTGGTCCTTTCTTCACTATTTTCCATACTCATCTCATTGATATAACAATTTCCTTAAACAAAGCCTGTTTTCCTTTTATATTAGAAAAACAAAATGTACTCCAGAGAGTGGAATCGTGATGCTCAGTACAGGGGCAGAGTCCGCGTTCAACTCAAACAGGAAGATGGCAGCCTCTGTCTTGTACAATTCCCATCACGTAAGCTTTTTTAAATGAATGAATAAAATTTGGGGATAGGTTACTCATTCCTCTACTCTGCAAAAAAGTTTCTGATCTTTTGAAAGGTAAAAATAATGTGTGTTCTCCAGATTAATTTAGAGAAAGGACTACCACTGATGGAGGGGTAAAACAGTGCTTCTAACTTTTTTCGTGGGCTGGGGTACATTTTTTTGTTTTATTTTTATCTTTATTGTTGAGAATATTACAGAGTCTCTCCCCTTTTTACTCTCATTGCCCCCCTCCACCCAGTTCCCGCCCTACCTCTGGTCTTCACCATCCTATTGTCTGTGTCCATGGGTTATGCATATAAGTATATAAAATCTCTTACCATCTGCACCCTCTCCTCCCCCCACTCTGAGATTCGTCAGTCTATTGCATGCTTCCATGCCTCTGGATTTATTTTGTGAGTCAGTTTATTTTGTTTATGACATTCCACATATGAGTGAGATCATGTGATACTTGTCTTTCTCTGAATGGCTTATTTTACTTAGCATAATACTCTCCAAGTTTATCCATGCTGTCTCAAAGAGTAAGAAATCATTTTAATTTGTTATATATGTAAATTATAAGTTATTGTTTTCAGAGAGGAAGGGGGAGGAGAGAGAGAGAAACATCAATGATGGGAGAGAATCATTGATTGATGCCTCCTAGCAACCCAGGCATGTGCCCTGACCGTGAATTTTTGGTTCATAGATCAACGCTCAACCACTGAGCCACACCAGCCGTGCAAGAGATCCTTCTTTTCTACAGCTGCATAGTGTTCCATTGTGTAGATGTACCTACCACAACTTCTTTATCCACTTATCTACTGGTGGGCACTTGGGCTGTTTACAAATCTTAGCTATTTTAAATAATGCTGCTATGAACATAGGGGTGCATATATCCTTTCTGATTGGTGTTTTCGGGCTCTTGGGATATATTCCCAGAAGTGGGCCACTGGGTCAAATGGCAGTTCACTTTCATTTTTTAAGGAAACTCCATACTGTTTTCCACAGTGGCTGCACTGGTTCTAAACTTCTTTAAGGTTAAGGACCTATTTGATAATGTGATGAAACTTACTAATGGTTTCCTCCAAAAATACTGTTTTGTGAACATTTTATAAACCTCTGAAAATCCATCATTGCTCCTAGGTTAAGAGTGTAAAGTTATTAAATTGTCAGATGTTAATTGCCATTTCAGATCCTAGAGATCTTGAGATCTGCTTATAATTTCTATCATTAATAAATCTAAAAAGCCATATTAGTGAAAAAAAGCAAGAGACAATATTACCACTTAGGTAAATTTAAAAACAAAGTAAGAAAATACTTGGTCTTAAGATAGTAGTTAACCTAATGACAAAAGCAAGGCAAGGGGTAGGGAGTTGGCACAGGGGGTTGTGGTCAGAGAAGACTAGCATTATCCCTAGTATTTTATTTCTTTTTATTTGTAATTTCTTAATTTATTGGGGTGAACACTGGTTAACAAAATTAAACAGGTTTCAGGTAAACAATTCCACAGTATATCATTTGTACACTATATTGTGTGTGTTCACCACCCCAAGACAAGTCTTCTTCCATCAGCGTTTATCCCCTGGTGTTTTATTTCTTAAAAAACAATAACCAAATAAAACTGGACATCAGTATTCCAAAATATTAACTCTGGGTATTGGGGAGAAGAGTATCTATTTACATGTTACTCTTTTCTGAATTTTTTTAATTCTAAAAAATATATTTTAATTTCTTAATTGAGTTTTATTTTGACACAATAACCCCAAACTGACAACTTGTTTTTAGTTGAATTAAAATAGATCGGGTTTCTAGGTATTTCTAAAAATGTTAAGATTCTGACTGAGGAGTGACAGATTGAGTATATTTCAGTGGTTTTTTTTCTTTTCTTGTTTCTTCTATTTGACATCTTTCTATACTATCTCTTAAAAGTCAAAAAGACCAAAAAAATAAATAACCACATAGAAACTTTTGATTTAAAAATTATAGTTGAATAGATGTTGCTTCCTGTTTCTACTAAGAAAATAGTTATAAAGTAAAAATAAAAAGCTAAAGTCTTGATGTGTTGCAGTAAGGACAGCAGCTATTGGAGCTGGAGGAGGTGGTTGGTGCACAAAGCAGGGGTGCGTGTATTCATAAATCATCTGAGCATATGAGTAACATCTTTTGTAACTTAATGGCTTTGGATTTTTATTGTAAGACAAAGGCACTGTGTTTCCGTGACTTAAAAGTTATAATGATATGCTGTTTCCAGTTTCTTATGTTTAGAAAAGTTCTCCTTGAATTTTCAAGTTAATTACCAGGACCAAGACCCAAATTTTTGTTTCACACTTAGTGTTTTAAATTTTGATTGTGTTATTTTGAATATTTCAGCATTGTTCTCAATACTTTCACCACCAAAGGCCCCCACTTGAACTAGTCATTGTCTTCATAGTCATTTATTTTTTTTCTTTTTAAATCCTTCTCATTTTCTTGATGTGGTGTGATGATTTCTTGAACTTTATGGTATTCAAGTTAATGACCTTTTACATCTTATCTCTCAGATTATACACTAACCCTAATTTCTGGTTCCTAGGTAAGTCAGTAATGTTGTATGCAGCGGAAATGATTCCTAAGCTAAAAACAAGGACACAAAAAACAGGAGGTAGTGACCAAACTCTTCAGCAAGGAGAGGGAAGTAAAAAAGGGAAAGGAAAGAAGAAGAAGTGACCTGGCAAGACAACCAAGTCTGACATACTACTGTAAGAGACATGGATGGAGGTTTCTGATTTGTATCTGAGAGAAACTGAAGCTTTTTGTTTGTATCATTTAACTGAACTATGAACATTTGTGCCTCCCAGCTTTAGCATGAGAGTTGACAATGAAATAAATTTACATCAGAAGTTTGCATCTAGCTCTTACGCAGTATTAAATAAATTTTTTTTTGCCTTTCAGTGCAGTTTTTGTGGAAGAAAGAAGTTTATTTTTAAATGGACAATGGCCTCTACCATAAGTTACTTGAAATTCTGTATCTGTGCTCTATGTAAAAATATTCAGACAAATGAGTTTAATAAGATTTGAAACATACTGTTCACCTTTTAAGCTAATGAAATAAAATTCAAAACTGACTGTGTAGCTTTTGCTTATGAACTAATCAATGCCAGTGGAAGAGATAATTTAAAAGGATAAAATGGGAAGCCTGACTGGTGTGGCTCAGTGGTTGAGTGTTGACCTATGAACCAGGAGGCCACAGTTTGATTCCTGGTCAGGACACATACCTGGATTGCAGGCTTGATCCCCAGTGTGGGTCATACAGGAGGCAGTCAGTCAGTGATTCTTTCTCATCAGTGATATTTCTATCCCCTCCTCCCTTCCTCTCTAAAATCAATAAAAATACATTTTAGAAATAATAAAAAAAACCAAAAGAATAAAATGGGCAGTGGATGTTTAGTATGACCCTGAAAGTAGAAGAAAGTAGTTAAATCCTCTTGGAGATCTATGAACAGCCAGTCTAGAACATATTCTTTTTTTTTTCTTTTTTTTTAAATTGATTTTCTT